TGCCACCAGACATTCTGTCGCGCCCACCTGGCATGCTTCCAGAAGATACTCTAGAAGCAGACGTCACTTTTAAAGTTTCAAAAACAATGGATTCCAACTGCCAGTCATGCGATTCTCTTCAAAACAGGACGATGTATTATTCTCAAGAATGGTGTAATGGAAAATCATGCTATTTATATCATAAGTCTGCTTATATGCCGTCGTAGACCAGAAATGCCGGCAATGGCCTCTAAGCCGTTTTTCGCACCGCCAGTGCTGTTGTTGAGAAATCTGGTTCGTGCACACGCGTGCCAACTAATGAAGACGTCATTGCTAAGTGAACTGTGTCTTTATCCTCTACGGTGCGATGTGGATGACCATGGACGTAGGAACAGGGGGGGGGGGGGGGAGGCAGGGGGCCATGATCCCCCCCACTTTTCAAGGTGGGGGGGGGCAGCAGCGTTAACTGCCCCCCCCCCCCCCACTTTTCAGATTAAGGTTGTGTTTTCTTACTTTTACACTACATTAAACATACATGCCGATTTCCCTAGTTTACCAGTCGTCTTCCTCAAGACGCGTTATGTTTTTCGGTTGCTCATAGGCCACTGCTTTATGTTACAGCCACAGGGCCGACGCCGCGCGGCCTATGGAGACTACAACGCCGGGCATCGGGGCTGTTGCTGTGACGCGAGCTTGCATGTTTAAACCATGTTACATATTTTTTATCAGTGATCAGTTCTGACTGAATCTTGAAAATTTTAAGACGAACATGGATTAGCTATGCTAATGCAAATTTGGGACCCTCATTTCACCTACAACCTACGTTCAGTGAGTCCTCAATATCACTGAAGAACACAAAAAATTGAAACCCGAGTCTATGCGACAATTATAGGACCCCTGCGGCGATCAGGGATGTTGCTGCGTCTGTGAGGGTTGTTGTGCTCATCCAGGGCCGACTGCGCGGGTCAGAAGGTCTACCGTGTCAGGGAGGGGAACATTTTGTTATGATATATCCTTCCAATGGCCTCCGGATCGATCACGAGATCTCGCCCCGTGTCACCAAAATGAGAGCTAGAAAGCACTTTGCGATAGGACGGAATGGCCCTCCAGCCCTTGACCTGAAACGTTAATGTGCCCCGTGTAATGTTATGTGCTCCGGGTGTTCTACTCAAGGGCCCTCGCCTGGAAGGAAATAAGGGGTCTCAATTTTGTTGAGTAAAGTGGAAGCCTCATTCCTGTTGGATAGAGCGCATTGAGATGAGCTACAAAAAACAAACAAGGCCATCCCATGTTTGCCTGAGAACGCCGATTTCTTAAAGAATGGATGAGTAAAACAAATTACGTCGACATGTGTGGACATGTCCGCATGCAACCTCGAGTGCGAGGACAGTGATGGCCTGGGTTACGGCTTCCGTGAAACCGAACGGCATCAGCCACTGCAAGTGTCACCAGACGGCGGGCGCCGTGGTGATATGTCTTCTGGACGGATTAATAACTACAGAAACACGAAAAATAAAGATTTTTCCTTTACTACTCCAATTCCCCCGCTAGATTCCAGCATCGCTTTGTGGTGCTTTAAGTGCCAGTTCATTCTTATCATCAGTCTAAAATCGCGCACGTGAAATATGCGCCCAGACTGCCTTCTAAATGCAAGATTTGACGTTCCGAAGTGTCCCAGGTACTTCTCTCAAAAACGTCATCATTTTTGAATGCCCGTTGGTCACGGCTTAATATTTGCTGTTGGGCCGACGCTGCGCGGCCCGGGGCGACTGCGATGCTTGGCGTCGAGGTTTTTGTTGCCAAGATTTGCACGTGCGCATGCTCAAAATTATGTCGCATAACTGGTGACACTAATGGATGCAAGTGTCTAACGATAGCTTTTTCAGAAGTGTCATCATTTTCGTCCACCGATGGACCACAACTAAAAGTTAGCCGCTACACTAATGCTCCGCGGACTACGGAGACTGCAACGCTTGAAGTGGAGGTTCTTGTCGCCAAGATTTGAGAGCGCGCATGTTAAAAAACATGTTACATGAATTGCATCACTAATCGAGTCTGACTGGATGTTGAACGTTTCCAGCCAAGCATGGCTTGATCATGTTAATGCACATTGTGGACCACTCGATCTACAATCAAATTTTCATATTCAAATTTCGATCAGACATATCGATCTACAATGTACCTTCGCGATGTCCTTAATCTCTTAACAGCCCGGATAAAAATTCAAACAAAGCTTCCGAGTTCTATCGTTTCAGAAAGAGTCAACAAAACCATTGTAAATGAAAGGCGCCGGTGATTTATTTCACGCGGTCGTTGAACGCCTGATTTTTGCAGTCTATTAACTTCAAAATACAAACAGAATTGATCTGACGTTAGCTCCTGTTCCTGTTC